AAAAAAAAAAAAAAAGTGAAACTGCAAAATATAGCTGTGGAAGATAAAAATCCTAAAATAATGTGTTTGAAAGTACTTGGGCAGACAAAGCAAAACAATATAGTCAGTGGGGATACTAATAAGTTAATAAGAGTTAACATGTTTATGACTGTATTAGAAAATACAGCTTCAAAGTATATAGTATATTTTGCTTTTAAATAAAACAGTCTGGACTACATTCAAATGTTTTTATCTGTAAACCTTATGTGAATAAAATACAAATCTAAGTAGCATGGGAATATAGAATTAAACTATAATTATTAGGCAAAAGCATTTATAGATTTGAGTCCTTCCAGGAGCCTCTTTAAAATCATACGATTAAATAAATATTAAGGTATCTCTCTTTAAGCTTAATGAGTTAATTTTTCTATGGACAATGGCATTTCACAGGAGTGACTTCAAAAAGAATATGAACGAATATTGATGTGGAATCACTACATCAATACCTCTAGTCATATACTTTAAGCCTAAAAACTAACTTAAGAAAATATATCTGCTCATTTGCCTTCATAATCACTTCCCAAAATACCTAGCTCTGTATTTGTCATTGTGCCAAATGAGAGCAGCCAAAAGAGGATTTTTGAAACTTTTATATATAAATGCTTCACTCCAAGACAAAGTGGTTTCCAGGAGTCATCTCCAAGTTCAACCAGCATTATATTCTAGCTCCTCTTCCGTGATAAGTAAAATCTCTTTACCTTAGATTTCTTGTACTTAATTTCAGCCCACCATATTCAACTTTGATTTAATTGATTAAAACAAGAATTATGATCTCTAATCAAAGAATAAACATGTTAGCTTGCCACTGTAGATACTTAAGAGATTTAGATTGTTAAAGGGATTTTTTTCCTGAATACCATTTACACCCACACCCACCCACACACACACACACACACACATGCATATATACACATATATATATACACACACACATACAATAACCTTCTATTGTTTTTTTTAAAAAAACAGTAATTTTGCACCAGTAATTATTAATCCAAATAATTTGGATTTAAACTATTTCTAATTGAAAACCTATCACATGAATTGTTTATAGTGACAGACAGTGAGCTATTAGTCATTTTAAAGCTTTAAAAGTAAGTTATCAGGACCCACTTTAATCTCCTCATGATAATAAAGGATTATTATGTGAAGTAACCTATTTATGAAAAGGAAACAGTGTGCTTCTTTCAGACGCCATCACTTGCTTTAACAAGGAATTGAAAAGCTGGACTACTTTATATGCAGATCACCATCCCAGTTGCATAAGGATTTACAATAGACAAAACAAAACTATTTTTTGTTCTAAAGAAGGGCTGTTTGTTTAATCACCCAGTAATGTTTGCATCTCAAAATTATCTACAGGCTAATGAGGCTTCATAAATACTATATCGACTTGGTTAGTTAAAATCATTTTAATGCTAAGACCAAAGTGAAAGGCTTGCTCAAGCTGACAAGGAAAAATTGAAGTTATGCATGTCTAAAGAAGGCAGAAGGAAAAATATCCCCACTACCTTGGTTTAAGTAATTATTAATTGATTTACAGATGCAAATAGTACGTGATTTGATAGTATCCCGATACCACTTCAATCAAACTCAAGAGGAAAATGCTGCTTTGTTAGAAATGTGAAAATTGAGAATTATTCTGAGTCTAACCTTTGTTCCTAAAAGAAATCGAAAGTCATATACACATTTTTATCTCCATTGCTTTGAATTTGTATAGAACTTACTTGGGAAGTTTTAATTTGACCTTTTGAATCTTCCTTCAAGGTACTGAATGGCTCCTATGTCTTTGTTAAATGAGGTGTGTGGCGGCCTCTACTGGTGTGTGTGTGTATAGAAAATGTTTCAATAGGCAGAAAAAATACTAATTTCAATTAAAAAGTTAGAAATACAGACTCTTTCATTTAAATTTATAAAAATATCTAATTTAATGCAGAAAAAATATATTACAAGTTGTGTAGTGTACTCTTAATTAGGAAAATAATCTAAGACACTGACCATGTTAGGGTAAAATAATGATTTACGGAAGGGCATTAATTGTTCAATTCACTCTGATATTGGGTTAAATATATTTTATTAATGAATTATTAATCCCAACTGAGGCGGCTTATTACCTCTAGTCCCTCGTTAAACCCCCTTAGTTTACTTAAATAAAATCACTTAGAACAAACCCAGAGGAAAGGAAATATTTTACAGTTAAGTCTACAAAGTCCTAGAACTAGAATCATTTTATGACAGGCTGGTTTCTATAATTCAAGCAAACTGTATGTTGACTCAGTATAGCTGAAACATCTATCTATTTTACAGTGTTTTCAATTTCAAAAATACAACACATTAAAATATGTTCAATTTATCAAAGCTAAAAGCAACATTTAAGTAATGTACTTAAAGTGCGAAGGCACTTTAACACAAAGAAGTGATGCCCAGTGGCTATACTTGGTAACTGAGTATGGAAATACCATATATCATTATTTACAAAAGAAGTTATAGTCCCAAAAGATCTTTGGAGATCTTCTACAAAATACCCTAAATATCCATTTTGATGTGAAAAGTTTGCCTAGTCTGTCTTAATTCACTACCATCTCCTCTTTCTCCTTCCACAATGGAAAAACAAGATGGTTTTGAAACAAAACCACAAACAAAATATAGGAAAACTGCACTGTAGAAGCATTCATGTTCACTGATGGTTCTTAAGAAGAGAGGAAACAAAACAGGGGAGGAGAGCAAGAGAGAAATAATTTAAAGGAAAACTTGCAAAAGCAATATCATTGCCTCACCCCATCTCCCAAATATTTCCAGAGTCCCCCATTAATGCTGGGAAAGGGAGAACACAAACAAACACAAAAAGCAAATGCAGTGCTTCCAGGAGTTTGGAGCAGCATCCTTTGATTCCATAGGGTCGTAAATGATTTCCCTTCACAGCTGACTGATTGCAGTTTGTTTTTCCAGAACTTCGAGGTAGTCTGGTTCTGATTGCGGCTTAGCTTGCAGTAAAGGGTGGTCAGGTTTTGACTGCCCCACAAAGCATTTCCTGGGAGTTCCATACAAAACGGTTTTATTGATTCTGTCTTGGTTTTGGCGTCGAGATTCATATGAAGGGGCGAACTGCCTTTTAGGTAAGGTACAAAAGTTATAGTGTACAAGGCCTGCACTGGGGAGTTCCTTGACCCTCTCAGCAATATTTTGATACAGCAGCTCGGGCTCTCTTGGTGTGGCCTGCTTTTCTAGCAACTCATTGGCACTTATTGTGTAAGCAAGTGTGGCTGGCTCTTCTTTTTTCTCCTCCAGGTTACCGTAGCTAAACTCTTGCAGGTTTCGATAATAGGCTACTGGGTCTCCTTCCTTCTGCATGTAGATGGGGTTTTGGCACATTTGACCCACAGGTGGGGGTATATAGTTATAGACGTGGCCATCTGTTTTATCCTGAGTCTCAGTGTTATAAGACCCATACTGTAACTGAAAAGAACTTACGTCCAGGTTGTTGGCACTCCTGGGAACACTTGGCACTCCCTTTCGGCGTTTCAGGACAAAGACGAATAAACCGGCCCCAAAACAGACAGATAAAATGAAAACAACAAGCAATCCCAAAATTAAGACAGAAAGTGGAACTTCAGTGTGTAGTTCAGGATAGGAACTAGGAGACACACTAAGTGACCAAGGTGTGTCTGTGTTATGATTCATTGATAAGATGGATCCATCTGACAAGTTTGGACTGTCTGGACAAATAGCATCCCTCCCCAGAAACTTCAGTATCTCCCCTGCATGCTTCGCAGGAGACTCACATGTCACTTCATTGATGATGACAGGGGAATTGGCATGTTCGGTCCAGTCCTTTAGCCCCATGATGTCACAGGTACAGTCCCATGGGTTCTCTTGCAGATCGATCTGGATAAAAGCTGGAAGCTGATCCAGCACTCCTTTCACAGGCAAGTGAGAAAAATGGTTGTTTCTCAGATTCAGCCTTGTGAGAGCTGTGCCCCCAAATATATTATCAGGTAAGGAGCGCAGTAGGTTGTTATTCAGAAACAGTAGCTGAAGGTTAATCAAAGCATCAAAGGTCAGTGGCTTAATTTCCTTAATGACATTATACTCTAAATAGAGATATTGCAAGCTCTGCAGTCCATCGAACATAGAAGGATACAGCACTTCAAGGTAATTGCCATTCAGATAAAGTCTGCGTAAACTGGTCAGGTTTGTGAAGGCACCTTCCTGGATGACTGCAATCCTGTTGTTCCCTAAATGCAACAAGTCCAAAGAACTATATTCTAAAAGGTCATTCTTATAGACGGTTTGAAGATAGTTCCCTGTTAGGTAGAGTTTCTTTGGACTGGTAGGTTTGGGCTGCAGGTCAGAGATATTAGTGAACTTCCTTTCTTGGCAGTTTACATTTAGACCATTGTCTGAGCTCTGAGAGGTGCAGATACAGCTACTGGGGCAGGTGAGGGGCACAGGGGACTTGGTCTGGTACACCATGATCGGTCCAAAGCTCTGTCTGTCCTTTGACACAGTCACGCGGGGAGTTGGACGATTTCTCATTTTGGGAGGCCGGCTGGCTTTTGGAGCCCTTGTTGGGTTGAGAGCAGGATTCATTGTAGGTGACAGCCTTTGGACATGTGTGTCAGCATGGCTGCCCCTCTGGTTGGAGTCACTGGCACTTTTTCTGGGACAGAGGTCCTGCCTGGTCAGTTGAGTCACATCTTTCCCATGCAACCTAAAGGGAGTTTCACAAACAATCTCTCCCACAAAAACAGTTATGGTGTCCAGCCAAGCTTTGAGAGGAAGTAAGTCACAAGTGCAATTCCACGGGTTTTCCTCCAGTTGAATCTCCATGATTCCTCCGATATGTTCAAGGACTCCAGCAAAAGGCATTACTTTCAGCCTATTCCCCCTCAGGTCTAAGTGGGTCAGCAAGACAAAGCGAAACACATTGCTGGGCAGCGATAGCAGAAGGTTGTCATTTAGGATGAGTACTTTGAGCTTATTAAGTTTGCTGAATGCCCCTGCCTCAATGGCACTGATGTAATTGTAGTCAGCCTGGAGGTACTCCAGGTTCTCCAGGCCCAGGAAGGTGTCCTCCCTCAATACCTCTAGCTTGTTGTTGTTGAGGTGCAGTCTCTTGAGAGTTTTCAGGCCACTGAATGCCCCGGTTCGGATCTCTTGCAGCCCGTTGTTACCCAGGTGCAGAGTCACAGCGTTGGAGTAATTGACAAATTCGTTTGGATACAGTCTAGTCAAGAGATTTCCATTGAGAAAAAGCTGATAGATTCGATACTGGGGGGGCTGCAGCAGGCTGACAGTTGTAAATCCTTTGTTTTCACAGTTAATATTCAGTACGTTTTCCTTCTCTTCACACAGGCAGCGGATCTTGCAAATGTCTTTGGCAGTTTTGCGACTCTCCGTCTGTAAGATCCCGGCCACGGTTAACACACTGAGGAACCAAACGCTGCTCAGCATCTTTAGGCACCTTCGGTGTCAGCTCAGGTACCTACAGGCAAACCTTGGGGAGAGGGGCGGAGGAGGAAGCGGGGTACGGGGTAAAAAAGAAAGAAGGAAGCCTGATTAAAATGGCAAAGCAAGGAGGCAGAGTGGGAGGGAAGGAGAATGAGTGGGTGGGCAACAGGGCAGAATGAAATTACTGCGTTTTTCAAAGCGGTTCTTCTCTCCTCTCTTTACCCTCCCCCCAACCCTAGCCCACCCACACACGCATCCAGGAACACACAAGCTTGCACCTGATTTCCCGACGGGGAGCAGCTAGCCGCGGAGTCATTAGTAAAGGAGTTGTTCTACTAAATCCAGCCCATCTCCTCCTCCCCTGGGGTATCTTGAAGAGACCTCTCTGGTGTCTTGCCCGTCTTGGGCTCACAGCAGAAACTGCTTTACTTTTTTTAAAAACTGCGCAAAAAGGGGGTGGGAAAATCAGGAATCAGGGGGTTGGCTGCGGGGGTGGAGACGGCAAAGACAGCGCAGGGGGGCGGTACTCACACATCAGGAGAAGACGGGACCCCCCTCCTCTGCAGTCCGCCAGGAGTTTAGCATCTTCAGAAAGAGAGGGAGAGCAAGGTAAAAGAAGACGCCGCTTCCAGGGAGGACGCCCCGCTTTTTGTTGCTCGATTTAATTCGGTTGGGGGGGTGCGCAGAAATAAAAAATCCAGCAGGCAGCAGGAAAGGAAGAGGAGGTTTGGAGCAGAGGAAAGCTGTGCCGCCAGGGATTCAGGGTGCGATTGCGCAGGGAGGTCGGGGAACTGGCCGGCCAGGTCGGCTGGCGGCTGAGACGGCGGAGCCTGGGCGCGCGTTTCCAATCTGGTGGCGGCGGCAGCAGTGCGTCTAGCAGTTTGAATTTGAGAGGCTTTGCAGGCTCCCTGGGACAGGGCTAGGGTGACGTCACGGGGGAGGGGGCAGGCAGAGGATTGAGAGCGCGCGGTGGGGGAGGGTGGGGCGGACGCTTCCTTTCCCTGCAAGTGGTTTTGCAAAGCTCAATTCCGGGCTGCGTCAGTTGATTCTGAACTACTCCACCTCCAAACTGGCTGGTGGCTGGAGAAGCTCCAGCAGAGGGGTTTCTCAAGGAGGGGACCCGCTAAGGTGCTGGAACCGCCAGACTCCTGGGCCTCTCTCAGTTGTCTCTTCCACTCAAAACCTCCCTCCCTCACCTACATACTGCCTGTGGAACAATAACCTGGCCATTCCTGGGAGGTCTTATCCCAGATTTCCAAGGAGGGTCCAGACTCTCCCAGGAAGAGCTGTGAGAGAGAGTGTGTGTGTGTGTGTGTGTGTGTGTGTGTGTGTGTGTGGTATGTCTCTTTGCTACAGGACTGGTGCCGCTTGCCAGCTCCTAGCTAGAATGTTCTTGGTGCGGAGAGTGGGGTATGTGTGCGTGCACCAGTGTGTCTGTGTAGGAGGGCAATGAGTTCTCTTGGGGGATTTATGCTTTACATACAGAGCTTTGGTTCAGCGCTGAGAGAATTACTTGCTGGGTGCTGACCGGCCAAACAGATATTTGTCTGGATTTTGACAGCCAGCTCGACTTTAGCTTATAGATTGAGATAAACAAAAACAAAAACCCTTCTCCCCTTGAGGTTTATACTTAGCCAGATAATGAGGTTTAAACGTGTACTGGAGGGAGGAGAGAAGTGGGTGTCAGAAAAGCACTGCCAGGCTGAGCTCAGCTGGGAGTGGGAGCCCAGGGACAGGTGGTTGAGTCCTCCAGGCATAGAGGAAGGGGAGCTAGGGAACAGAGAAAGGCAGTGAAGAAAGTCTGGCTCCTGAGAAATAGAGGCCAGGGAAAAGGAGCTCTGGATAAGGACCCATGTCGCCTGGATTCTGGTCTGGCTCTCTTGCCAGGTATGTCACTAGTTTGGGGGTCTTCCTGTCTCTGTTTGCAAAAGGGGTAGACTGGGTGGGCCCTCTCAGCTCTAGCATCCAATTTTAGTTTAAAAACCTTTTTAGGGTATTACTAATGGCCAGGAATTGGGTTTTTGCCTTCACTATCTCTTTTCTCCTTAATTTTCTTACAGCCCCCCCCCGCCCCCGACTCAGGTGTCTCCCAGTTTTGAGTCTGTTTGCAAGTTGTGACTATTATTTCTGTTGCCTTGTAAGGCCTTGGAATGTCTCTGGTGGTAAGGGGGTGATGGGTTAGGACAAGGAGGAAATGAAATAAAGTGGGAATGATCAAACTACGTGCCTGTTCCACAGATTAAAAACACTTCAATTTGTTTTTCCCTTCAGTTCAGGCCTACTGTAGAGAGGGTCAGCACAGGGTCCCATTGTCTGGTCAAATGTGGAATAATAGACAACTACACAGGCAAAAAATAATAACCCATGGGGGTACAAAAAGCCCCCGCTTCCATGTTAAGCCCTGTCCTGGGACAGTTCAGCTTATACAAGCTTGTTCCTCCCCAAGAAGGGCTGAAGGTAGTTTGTAAACTCAGACACTAAGGCAACCTGTGGCTCTGGTGATTTCTAGTGGATTTTTCTCAGGCTTTCTTCCTCAACCTCCACACCTTCTCCTTCCAACAAAAGCCTTGGACCAAGCAGGCATCAGGATCCCTTTTTCCCCCCTATAATTCTTGCTTAGCCTTTAGCAAAATCCTTTCCTTCTCAAGCCTCCAATTGTCCTTCTCTATGCCATAGGGCAACCTTGAGATGAGGGGGTCTGGGGAGAGGGGCCTCCCTTTGAATGGCTTTACACTTTCTATTGCAATTGTTCCATTAGATGCAAGCAGACTGATGCAATTCCCAACATAATTAGCCTTCCTATCCTAACACCCTTTGGTAGGATATTTCCAAATATTAAAAATACATAGTTCCTAGAGAGAGAAGATTTATTCATTCAATGAACATTTATTAATTAGGTTAATTTTTCATTGACTAGACGTCAATGTGACAGCTGGACAAGACTTCAGAAATCAGGTTCATTTTACACATGAGGACATTTTTCAACCATGGAAAATGCTGACTTGCTTAAGATCAAGAAATAATTAGAAAATTATATTTGAAAGTGGAATATTAGTTTTCATTCTTAAATACGATGATTTCCTTCAAGATACTGATGTTGTCAATACTTGAGGAGAGATTATTTTGCTGGGGATTTCACAGGGCAGGGAAGTGGGGGGATTTGTAGGCTCTTGAAATTCTTGGCACTTAGAGCATCAAGGAAATGCAGGATAAGCTAGCTGGAGGGAGGGACACCGCGACCCCTGAGGTGGCATGGCAGGTCTTCTTCCTTCCGTGGTTAGCTTCCTACACCAGTTGGTTGACCCTTCATCTCCTGCCTGTTCCTGAGTGTCCACAGACGCTTTGCAGAACAGTTATTAAAAAAGTAAGTTTCATTTGGCCCGGCATTTCTGGAATAACTGCTGTAACACCCCGCTAGGGAGAGCAGGCTTTCAAGGTGGTGGAAAGATTGACGATGAACTGGGAACCCAAGGGAGGCAGAGGCGGACATTAAAATAGGCGAAATGCTCCCTTTCCTCGCTGAGGAGAGGAAGGCTTAAACGAGGACTCTGTGGCCTCAGTCTCACTCTCATCTAACGGAGAAGAGCCTGGCTCAGGTCGCCAAGGCTTCCACAGGACGCTGTGGGTGACCGCGGGTGTGCAGCCCACCTCCATCCCGGCCTGTCAGGCCGCTAGGGGGTTAAGAGGAGTCCCGCGGGCCTGAGAGGGGACACTGCCTGGTCGCAGCCCACTTCTCTAAACACCCCACCCGCTGCAACCAGGTCGAATCCCATTTCAGAAGGACTCTTCCGGGAAACGTGGGGTCTTGGAGAGTCCACAGTTGTCGCCGAGAATGGGGCACTGGCCGCGAGTGCAGTCCCCCACCCTCCCTCCGCCAAGCCGCTAGACAGACGCCTGGTGCCAGCTCACTGCCCCAAAGCTGCGACGGCCATTCGCCCAGCGCTCGCTCCTGGGCTTGGGACTCCAAGAGAGCGGCAGCTCACACCGGGTGCTTGGGCCGCCCCCGGCAGCGCGGTCCACCCGGTTGCGGGAAGCGTCCAGACCCACCCCGCCCGCTCGGAAGTCCCAGAGCAAGGAAACCCGAGTAGGGATTGAGGGTAGAGGACGGCCGCCAGCGTGCTGCCCGGGGCAGATCGTCCCCAGTCTGCCTACGCCAGGTCCCCTCGTAAAGGCAAGCGGCCGGGAAAGGGGAAAGGAGACGGGCTGAGGGCAGCCAGCTCGCCGGCAGCGTAGCCAGGCGTCCCCGAGTGCTCAGAACTTACCGAGCGAGCGCGCCGCCCGGTTCTTCCCCCGGAGGCGCCCGTAGCATCTGCGACTTGGGGAGGCACAGGAGCCCGCACTGCCCGGCACTGGTGGGGTCCGGGAGGGAAGGCACGGCGTGGAGCGCGGGAGGCGCCCCCAGGGCAGGCAGATCCCCACTGGAGAGGCTCGCCAAGGGGCAAAGCTTCTGGCAGGAAGGAGGGAGGGAGCGGAGAGGGAGGAGGGAGGAGGGAAGTAGAGAGGGAGGGAGGAGGAGGAAAGGAGAGAGGGAGGGATGGCGGCCCCTCTCCCGCACTTATCAATCACCGGGCAGATCAAATGTCCTCGCTGTGCACCCGGGAGGGGGATGTTCCAGCCCACAAAGGAGGTGCTGCTCCATTTCTTTGACAAGCGCTGCAGAGCGCTGCTCACGCCTCTCCGCCTCTCTCGCCTGGAACTCTGCCCAGCCCTTACAGCTTCTACGGTGGGCTGCGGCTCAGACTCGGTCAAGTGAAATAAGGATGGACTCGGTTGGTATCAAATCCGAGGAGAGAATAAGACCACTGGGTAGAAGTTACGGACAAGGGAAAGAGCGGCTAGCCACCCGAGCTGGACACCCTTTGTGACGGCTGCCTCCCCTAACTAGTAAGCGCCCAATCGCTGGAGTTCGCAGGGAGATGTTTAAGGACCTCCTGTGAGGATGGTAAACAAGGAATTTCTCTATAATATAGAGCTAAGCTAGACTTGTGCAAATATGTTAAAAAACAAGCCCCTTGCAGCGTTCCAATGACCTTTTTAAGGTTCATTCTTTTTTATTTTTCACGACGTTGCTTGGATCCACTAGAGCGTTATTTTTGCCTCCTCCCTTCGTTTTTCTCCTTTCTTCTTCCTTTTATTAGTAGTCCAGGTGGTTGTGACTGTTTGAAAGGAAGGCGCTCGATGAAAGATTCAATGTAGTTCAAGACCGAGGTGCGATTTTCTGCAAGAGCATTGCGGTTCCTCTCAAGACTTGGTTTCTCAGGGCCTCTCCTCCACTCTCCCAGAGTATTCTAGATGAAGTTGCAGTTTATTAGTTTATGTCTGGAGTAGAGAGTTAAAATTTGATGGCACCAAGATATTTACCCCTAAATCCTGGAGGAGAACGACCTTAATCGAAGTTGCCTCTATCCCCTGTCCTTTTCCTATCTGCTATAGTCTGTAAAATCCTAAATCCTTCAGAATATCTGGAAACTTTGTAGTGAGGAGCAAAAAGAAAGAGGGGTACAAAATTAGAGCCCAAAACGATCTCTCCAACTAATGACTCTGCACTGAGATATGTGATTCTCCCACATCTAAACCAGGTTCTCATAACACTAACTCCCACCTCATTCACGTCCTTATCCTTGGGAATCTTTCGTGCTGCTTCCTCTCTTCTCTTCTTGGCTTTCTTTCACAATAGTTTTCTAAGGAGACTATGCTGGCCCTTTTAAGAAGGAAACTACTGACAATTTTACATGTACAGAGTTTACTTTAGTAATTGTCCAAAGAATTATCTTATAATCGTATTTCTGTGGTTTTAAGGGTCATTACCAGTCCTTTTCCTTCAGTTTTGAGAATGCCTTTTTGAAATTTCCCTACCATCCAGACAAGCAATTTCAGAATAACGTAGTTTTACATGAGCACATGGGCAGGCTATTTACAGTTACATATTCAAAACCATTGCTGTTATTTTTTAATATCCTTATTAGCGTAAAACACCCAATGCACTGTTTGCTACAGACAATAGCAACAGCCTGGGCACATCATATTATTACTAACTGAGGTCAAATAATGCTGTTCTCTGTCTATCTTTACCTCATTTCTGACTGTCATCTTTTCATGTAGTTATTTAATGGGCGCTATAAACAACCACAAAACACAGAGCCAAGAAGCTATTTAAATGCAGAAATAATGAGACAGTCATGCTGAAAAAAAAAAAAACACAGTTTACTGAGAAGGGTGGTGTGTCTCTAGGCAAAGGGAACACGCAGAAAAGGAGTAACTTGTATACAGATGAGATGAGAAACAAAGGATCATGATAAAACTAATATTTTATTTCTCTTGATATATATGGCATGCCTCTATTTTTATTAGCCTTGTAAGCAAATCGAACATGCCTAAACCTTTAGAAAGCATTTAGTAGCCTGCCTTTCCACATGAGACCACATTGATAGTAAGATAAAATTAAAAAGAGCAGACTTTCTCTTTGTCAGCATAAAATTTTCAAGTAGGTGGGCAGCATTCTGAAGGGTGCTCCGAATGCTCAGATACACAAAAAACGATGAACAATATGAAACTTTTGGTGAGGGCTGTTGCATAGATAATTATAGTAAAGGAGAGCTTGAAGTGTGTGAAAAATTTAAATACGCCAATTTATTTGAAAGCTGCTTTACGCTGACTCCTCAGTGTGTCTGTGTTAGGGGAAAATTTCCAAATATAATTGAATACCAAAAACATCCATATTAAGGTAGTTTTGTTAATGAATAAAAATCACGTTATTAGTCCTTTTGGGTAGTAGCATTGTAAAATGTATCCCTGCATTTGTGTGCTGTTCCCTATTGTACAGTTCGTGTTACTAAAGGGCTTGGAGATCCCTGATTGCAATGCTAATGGGAAAATGGAGAAATCAAATTAAATTTTGCCTCAGTTTTTCTAATTTCATTCTGAAATGAGAAGCAAACCAGAAATTTCATCTATGAGGAATTTAAAAATGTGCATATACTTCTGGGATGATACAAAATGCTGTCCAATTACTGTTTAGCACCTAGTTTACCTGCGGTGGTTATCGCTCCAGCTTCTCCAGGCCTATCCAGAACTAGATGACTTTACAAAATAAAAACTAAGAGTAGAAACCTCATACAGAGTTAGTAATTCTAAGACAGATGTCCTGCAGTTTTAGTGGATACTGTCCCTTTTGAACCAAAGGTTTCAAAGAAGTGTTCCATAGCACAAATTCTGAAATAAAGAAAGAGATGCAAGACTAAGGGGACATTCCCTTAATACTAGTAAGTGTAGTTTAAAAGATATTGTAGGCTTAGTTCCCCATGCTATCGAAAATGTGGATATTTTTAAATTCAATTCAATTATTTTGATTACGTATTTTGGCAGGCATTCTGGCTTGGTTGGCATAGTACTGGGCCCGAACCCAGAGCAGTTTTTCTTTTAATCAAACACATAGCCATGCCCTTGGAGCCCAATACACTGTGTTCAAATCTCATTCCTACTACTTTCTCACAGTGGGACCAGAGCAGACACTGGTTTCCCCATGTGTAAAATTAGCTACTAGCACCTGCCACATGGAGTCAGTAACGACAAGAAGTACATAGGGCTGGTGAATTGTGGGGTAGCACACATATGTGCAGGAGAATCTTGAACTGAAGAATTCCTAAACTCCTTAAAATAAATAGATTATACAAAACATTTTATAGCTGTTTTTGATGTTTTTCATGTCAATCCTTACTAGATCCTTAGAGTTATCCAGACTTCACAAAAGAGGAAAGTGAGACTCAAAAAGTTGAAGTAACTTGCCTATGCTCATACCCACACTCTTGGTTAGATGGTTGATTTTACTGAGAAAACAGTATTAGAATTTAAGTTGCAGAATAGAATCAAGATGAAAAAAATATTTATAAATATTCATGTTTCACTTTGGGACTGTGTAATGTCAAAGATTCAAAAGAAAATTAAAAAAAATCATCTTTTTTTTTTCTCAGATTTTTCCAAATAATTGGATATATGTATATATCAGGGCTCAACATTGACTACACTGATATATTGGTCCAGATGATCATTTGTTGTGGCTCACTGTCCTGTGCCATGTAGGAGGATTAGCAACACCCCCAGTAGCACATACACATATACATATATACAGAGGCTTCCAAAATGTACACACATTTTTTTTTTTGAGACAGAGTCTTACTATGTCACACTCGGTAGAGTGCTGTGCTGTCACAGCTCGCAGCAACCTGAAACTCTTGGGCTTAAGCTATTCTCTTGCCTCAGCCTCCCAAGTAGCTGGGACTACAGGTGCCTCCTACAATACCTGGCTATTTGTTTGTTGCAGTTGTCATTGTTGTTTAGCTGGCCCGGGCCGGGTTCCAACCTGCCACCTTTGGTATATGTGGCTGGCACTGTAACCATCGTGCTATGGGTGCCGAGCCCCAATGTATACACATTTTAAGAAAGGAAAAAGCTGTATTAAAATGGTAATACTCAATATGCGCCAATAATGTTTGTTATCTTGTATGTTGTGTCTTATGTCTCTTCTAATTACAGAATTCATATGTGACTTGAGTATTACAAATTTAATAGTTTTTTCCCTTTCTTAAAGTGTGTATACTTTGGCACCCTTTGTGTATTCTTAAATATCATATATGTACAGATGTATAAATGCCTTACTTTTATTTTTTTTATTTTTATTTATTTTTTTATTGAATGGTAACTGTGTACATGGATGCACTTTGGGGGTACAGTGTGGTGTTTTCATACACAATCCAAGACCCTTCCATCAAACTGGTTAACATAGCCTTCATGTAACTTTCTTAGTTATTATGTCAAAACATTCATATTCTACTCATAGAAAGATTCACTTGTACCCTTGCAAGATGAGCCACAGAAGTGAACGCTCGAATCCCTCTACTTTTATGTAGCATTTAAACAGTTCAAGGTAACATAATGCATGTTCATACTTAGTGACAGCAAGATCCCAGGATACCTGATGCCTTGCTTTGTAATATTGAACTACACCTTGCAGGCTGCTCCCTCTTATGCCCAAATACTATGAGTGGAGGCAGGCAACGCATACTGGTGCCGCTCCTCAGGAAGAAATATCTTTTATATTATGGCCCAGGGCACTGTCCTGGATTGAAACATGTTTTCTGAAACAGTATGACCCTCGTCACAACCTTGCATTCTGAAATATTCTATTGCGGTTGATTTTTTAAATTTCTGGCTGTGGTCCACTGAAATGATCTCAAGAGTGACTAATAGATTGTATCTCACCGTTTGAATAACACTGGCACACCAGATTGGGCTGGAGAAAAAGAAAAATGGGACAGAAAGTAGAAAAGGGGGCAGTAGAGAAAGAGGGGAGGAATGGAAATAGAGGAAAAACAAAGTCCATGCGGTGTGAAGTTTTAGAAAAACGGTGCTCAAACAATTATATCAAATGCACCTGCACCCTAATGATTCTAGATCTGTCCCCT